CCCCCCCCCCCCCTTCCCCAGGCTCCCCATTTCTTCACACCCATTGAAACGGCCCCTCTACACCAATGGAAATGGCAAAGACACCTCCAGAAGCTTTCACCTTTCATACTTCAGCCCCATATAGGGCTCCACTGGAGGCAGAAGGTGCTGCGATTTCCCCCATTCCCTCCACTACCTGCACCAGTTTGCTTGGGTCACAGCCAGAACAGCGACTTTATTTTTTTATTATTATTACTATTATTTTCCTTTTTAATTTTGCAGCCAGCCAAATGCTGCAGAACCCAGAGGCGAAGCAGCCGGGCCAAACCCTGCCCTGTGTTATGGAAATCACGGCTGCCACCCGGCAGATGCGGGCTGAGGAAATAATGCGGCTGTTGAGCCGACACAGAGGAGGAGAGGGGAGCTTTTGTCTGGCACTCGCCGGGGTTGGAGAACACTTGTCGAGCAACAACTGGAGCTCATTGAAAAGAAGTGGAGGTTATTAGGAGCGTTTCGCTCGATGCCGATGGCCCCGTTATTTTTCCCTTCAGATGCCAGGCAGAATCTGCGGGGCTGGGAGGGAGAAGTGAGATACCACCTGACAGCACGCTGATGGTGGAGGGAATAAATAGGGCTGGAGGCAGCCGGCAGGGCTCTGGCAGCTCGGACTCCGTGTTTCAAGGGTGCTTCGCCTTCCCCAGGGTAACTGAGGCAGCACAATGATCAGCTGGCCTGGGAGACGTCCATCCATCCCTCTATCTACCCGCCTATCTCTCCCTCTGTCTCGATGCACGTCCCTCCAGCCTCCTTTCTCTGCTCTGAAATAAAAAGCAACGATCCCCTTTCCGAAGCCAGGAACGAAATGAATGCCTTCTCTCCCTAATTCAGGTAGCTCCTCATAAATCTTCCCAGCTTCAGCGTGGTCTCCTAGGACTCCTGGGGCAGTTGGGAACCTATGTAATCAGCTCGGATGATCAGCACTGTTTGTCGCTCTCCAGTTGCCGAAAAGCCCTTTGAACCCTTTGTGTCTTTATTGAATGATCCCGGAGTCCCCTGACGATTTTGCCAGTCTGGCCCATTCTGCACGCCAGCTCCTGGCTTAATAACCCACTGAAATCCTGCAGTGAGTGTGGAGGGTAGGGAGAGCCACGGCCCCGCTGCCAAGCCTCTTATCACAGCATCTTCCCATGTCTCCTCCTCGGTGCTCCCACACGCTGCAGATTTCCATGAAAACACAAAACGTGGCCAGCAAGTAGGGCTCAAAGCCAGCATGAGAGCATCCAGGGAATGATACAACTGGTGCTGGGAGAAGAAAGCTAAAAGTCCCCTTGCGGAGACTCAGCAGGGGCTGGGGCAGATGAAAAGTCACAACATCCATGGGTGAAAGTGTTTATTTTAGCACATTTTAGTGCCTTTTTGGTTTCAGTTGGTCAGGAACCAAACTGAGGGATGGCGGCTGCTGGCAGAGGTTTGCTGTGATGCTGAGCCCTTTGGAAGCACTGCTCAGGTTGCAGCCTGCTGGAAGCAAATCCAAAGCTGTCCAAACCCAGGAGGATTCCTTCCATCAGGGAAATGCTCAGCTGTCATCTTTATAAATCCTTTGAGTTGGAAGGGACTTTTAAAGGCCACCTGGTCCAACTCCCCTGCAATGAACAGGGAGAGCCACATCCACCTTCAGTGGACAGCTCTCTTAAGCTGAAGTTTTGCTGGAGATGTCTGCCATCTGCCCCAGCATCCCCAATAATCCCACACTGATCACCAGCCAGATCTGCACCTCTTCTACACTCAGTTCTTCCCAGAAGCATTGTTGGTGTTTCTCCTTCTGAAGGATGCTGCTCTCCATACCCCACAACTTAGTATGGACCACCATCAAGACAGGCAAAGTAACCTAATCTATGAGCGCATTAGGGTGTCGGAAAACAATAATCCAAGAAGGAAACACATTATCTGTCCTTGTTACTTTACAAAGTAATTTAAATTAATTTTTCCCTAGAGTGGTTAGGGAGCACAGCAACTTGCCCTTGCCTATTCTCTCCAGCTAATGAAGCTTTACCAGAGACTGCTCGTGAATTCCTATTAAGACCTCATCTTAGAGGTTACAGGGCAAAGCAATTTCTGCTCCTGGGAAAGATGCCTATGAATTTGTAATTGTAAGGCCGTGTTTGATAGGGATTAGCATCTGAAAGGGGTAGAGTGGTGGGTAGCAGAGAAAACATTATTTCAATTAGCAGAAGAAAAGCAACTTAACATCTGATTTATAGTTTACACTTTCAATTTTCTCTTATTCTGGCATTTGGGATAATTATTTCCTGAAATCATCCACACCCACCAAGCAGCCAACTCTTCCTTTCTTTTCCTCCTGGTCATGTTGGTAGTGATTGACATGGGAATGGCTGATGAGCTGGCTTTGTTCCTTTCTGTTCTTCTCCCAGGCAATAGCCAGACTCAGGGAATGTGGGGACGGAGGGGAGGATGCTGTGCCGAGCCTGACTACAATGAGATGCGGTGTTTCCCATCATGCCAAGGAGGTGTAGGACATGATGGAGCTTTGCTCAGTTGTTGGGATCATGGCTGGCATAGTGGCCAGCAGCATGGCACAGTGCTAATGCCCTTTGCTCCCACTCACAAAATGGCGCAACTGGGAAAACATTTAAGGAGACTGGAAATGCCCTGGGATACCTAATGCCCAGAGCTTTCCTCTGCGCTCAGGAATTGCTTCTCATCACTTATTTACTTTCCTCCCAGCCTATAGATGCAGATGCCTTTTGCTCTGTGTAGACTTGCCACAACCCACAGTCCTGCTGCTTTTCTCAGCCTTATTGGTCTCCTGCTTTCTAATGGCAATGCAATTGGTTTTCGGGCTGGAGATTCCTTGTAAGAAGGCATGTTGTTATTTAAGGAAGATCATGAAATCCATCCTTAATGAAAGGACAGGAGAAACCCCTTCCACCGAGTTACGCTGAAGCCTGAGATTATCATTTTTATGGGCTTCCAATCTCTCCAGCCTTGTGTCTTATCAGCAAATGCAGCTGGAGGCTTCAAAACACTCCCAGCTTGCTGCTGATTTTGCGGGATGAAGATTAGAGATGATCAGATAGTGAATTATTCATTCCACTTGATATCTCTGGGCAGGAGGGAATATCCAAGCAAAAGTCAGCTCCCTCCTTGCTGTCTGAGCATCTCCTGCTCTTCCAGCAGTATTAGGGAAGAGCGGAAGCAAGGGGCCAGGCTGACATGAACACAGAGCCGGAGCCCCAGAGCCATTAGCCCCACCAGCCTCCTTCACCTGGTGGGCAGAGAAGCAGCAGCAATGGTTTAAGAATGAATGAGGGTAGATTTACACTGGATGTAAGGAAATTTGTCACGATGAGGGTGGTGAGGAAATGGAACAGGTTCCTCGGGGAAGCTGTGGATGTTCCATCAATGCTGAGCTGGACGTAGCTTTGAGGTTTAGTGGCAGGTGTTCTTATGGTAGAGGGATGGATTAGGTGGTCTTTAAGGTCCCTTTCAACCCAATGATTTTGTTATCTCAGAGGAAAATGAAGAGAGTAGCACAGCCCTAGGGTGGATGAAGGGTCACAACACCGATGTTAGGGACCACCTACCAGCTCTTGTGGGACCTCTTTGAGCCATGTAATAAAGCACAGGGTGGGGTGCAGCCCCATGGAACACGGTGGGGCAGACATGCTCTACTGCATGATGGCAGCAGGGTGCCAGCTCCCTCTGAGCACTGGTTATTACACAGTCCAATTGGACACTGTTTCATGAAATTCCTCTGGGGGGTGGTGGTTCTGGATGTCCCTTGTCCTTCTCCCTGCTTCCCAGACCTTGCAAAACCCTTCTGCCAAGTGACTCTGCCACTGAATAACCGGCCAAGGAAATATCTTACCCATTGCAGGAGGGGAACATCCTGCCAGCCCTGATTTGACCCTGCTGGAGAGTCTGGGCAAAACCCCACGTTTTTAATGGAAGAAAAAGTGTATATATATATTTTTCTTTTTGCACTGTTCAGGCTTGCTTTTATCTACTTTATCTATTTGTTTATTTATTTATTTTTATGGCTCTTTTTGGTGAATGGGGGGAGAGATGAGGTGGGTGAAAGAGGGGAGGAGGGTGGGAGGGAGGAAGGAAATGAAGGAAAAAGAAAAACAACCTCCATACAAACACTGAAGCCCACAACGATTCTCAAAGAGGAACTGGCATCTGCTCTGAGCCGTATCACCCAGGAACACATTTTAGGCTCAGGAATGTGCTCTGAGCCAATGTTAATTTTGGCTAAAAAATAATAATAATAAAAAAAAAAAAATAAAAAGAGGAAGAAATATCTTTTTGTTTTTTTTGAGGATATCAACATAATCCTGAAATGCCAAGACCTGGATATGTCCAAGTCCCATTCTATAGGAAACAGCTCCTAAGAGTCCCTTGGAGAAAGCTGTGCTGGGGCTCAGTGCTGCAGACAGAACTGCCCTTCCCTGCCTCAGTTTCCCCCTTCAGAAAAATGGCTCCAAAAGGGTTTGCTCTGCCACATCCCTGTGCTGCTGAGAGCATAAACGTGAGGGATGACAACCCATCCAAAGTGCTGCAGTGGGAACTTGTAGCTTCTTGTCTCTGCTTTGCATGCTTCCACTGCAAGAATCACAAAAGGATGAAGCGGTGGCAAATTATTTGCTGAAATTTCTGATCTTGTCCCTGAAGTAAATCCATTGCCATTGCTGTTCCTCATCCCCCCCAGGCCTGGCTGAGTGACGTGCAGCCAAGCAGGTGCCACTGGGCCCTTTGGCCACAGTTGTGCATACCTCCCTAATAGCTGCCATAGACTCAGCAGATGCCTGGGAGCAGAGAAGACCTTTGAGATAAGCAAAGGAATGAGTCCCTGCCCTCATGGCCAAGGGCAGAAGAAGAACCCTGCCTTAAGTTTCTTCTTTCTTTGGAAATCAGCCCTGCTGTCCCTTGAGCTGAGCTGAGCAGACAAGATGAGAAGAAGTCCCCAGGTGTGGAGGGGCTGAGAGTGATGCGGATGCAGGGTGGGCAGCAGCAATAGATGGTAGATGTCACAGGTGCTGCACTTTCTAAAGACAGCCCCAGGACTGGGTGCTGGTGAGGCTTTCTGCTGAAGGCAGGCTTTTTTTTTTTTTCCTTGGTGGGGTTGTACTGTGCCAAGAGCACAAGATCTGAGTGCTTCTTTGGAATGGATAACATGCAAATAAGTTGCTGGGAAACCAAAGGTCACTCTCATTACTATTTCTTCCTAAGCCAGCTCATCCCTTTTGGTCTGTAACAGCATTGCTTTTAAAGGGACACACTATGGGCAGGTCCTTCCCAGGTGCACGGAGAGAGTCCCCTCCTTGGAGAGCCCTTGGTTGGAGAGCAAAGCTGGTGGGGCTGAGGCTGAGCCCACCTTGTGCTGCATGGGGGATTGAGGCATGGGGAGATGAGTGTGCAAAGGAACTCGGGGGAAATCTGGGGGCTGGGTTTGTGCACCTCCAACACATTTCCAGGATAAATGACACTGCTTGAGGTCTGGGGAAAGCGGGGGAATGAAGAGCAGGATGACAGCACTGCTGTCGTGTGTTTCTATCTCTTGTGGTGTCAGAAAAACTTCAGGATCAGCCCTGAAGGCTCAATAAAACCAACGCTCTGTTTACGACGTTTAATAGGCTCTATCTAGCAACGTCTGTGATAGAGGAGGCAGCAATCAGCAGTGAGGCCAGTTTAATAAAGGATGTTTCTAAGCCACAAATGTGTTTTCCCAGCTTGTTAATGACACTTGGTGCAAAGGATGGCAGCATTCCTCTCCTGCACCTGGCACTCCGTTTCCCTGCTGAGCTGTGCTGTGTGTGGGATCCGTGCTCTGTGGGTGCTCCCCAGGACTCCAGCGCTGGGATAGGGCACAGGGGTGGGAAGGGGTTCCTAGGGGAGCCCCAACCCCTGCACTGTGGAACAGTGGTGCTGCCGGGAAGCTCTCAGAGCTGAGATTTCAGCTCTCTGCTCGGCCGCATTCCCCGAAGACCACAGCAGGGATTTACCGATGAGGGCGTCAGTTCTTCCTCCCGCACCCGTACAATCGCTGTCCGTGTATCTCGGCTCCCTTCCAAGCCCTAAGGGAACAGCCAGGTTCAAGTCACCTTGCCCCAAATTCCCCTTAATCCCTCTACTCTGGGGCGGAAGAAAGAGACACCTCCTCCACACCCCTCCTCCCCTTCCCGGAGTCGGATTTGAATACCCAGGTGTGAGCATCAGCCACCCTCGAGTTAACGAGTTTGATAATTTACCCGGCTCATTCCTGCCGGAGGGATCCGAACGCAGCGCGGCTCTTCCCGGCCCCGCACCGCCACCCGCAGCCCCACCGCCCCGCATCGTAACCCCGCACCATGCCGGCCCTGCGGCTTCTCGCCCTCGGGCTCCTCCTGGCTCTGGAGCCCGCGAGCTGCCAGGAAGGTAAGAGCTCCGTTCCTGGAGAAACTGAGGCACGAGGGGTAGGGGTGGCTTTTGGGACAGGAGAGTTGCTTGGGCACGGGAAAAATGCCTCAGCTCCCCCTGCAGCTCTGCCTTCCTATGTGAGCTCAGTGGTAGATCTGGCTGCAGGCAGAACAGTCTTTACCTGTTTAGCTTGATGCCAGGTTACACGGTGATGCAGCAGCTCCAGCTGATCCCCAGCACTTAGAGATGGGCGATGTGTTTTCTTACAAATTGCTTTCTTTTTTTCCCCTGGAAGGCACTGCTCTGCTTCTCGCTCTCAAAGTGGCAGGATTTGTTAATCTGTAGTTCTGATCTGTGTGGAGGTGACAGGGCCAAATATTTTCCTCTGCAAATCACGCTTTCATTCCCTTCCTGGAGACTTAATAGAGAAACTTCCTATTGCTCTGACATTATTTTTACGAAACTCGGGACTTGTCTGACACTACAAATAATCAGGAATAATTAAAGCAAATCAGATCCTGCCAAAGAGCTGGAAAATTCCCTCCCCCTTTCTCCTCCTAATGCCCCGGCCTTGACCGCTCTTCCTCTATTTGTTTACCAACTCGTGAAAGATTGAGCAGTGTAGGGTCTCCACCGTCAGCAGGATTGCGTGTTTTGCTGCTGCCTTGAAAGAAAGAAAAAAAGAAAAAAAAAGAAAGAAAATCCTTTAGCGAAGTTTCAGAGCTGGCACAGCTTCCTCAGCCATAGCAAAGCACTGGCACAGCTGCCCAGGGAGGTGATGGGGTCACCGTCCCTGGAGGTGTTAGAAACCATGGGGATGTGGCACTGAGGGACGTGGTCAGTGGGCATGGTGGGGTGGGGTTGGGGTAGTGTGATCATAGAGGTCTTTTCCAATGTCTATGATTGTATGAAAGCTCAGGGGACGGCTGATGCCTTCTAAACACTTGGGGAAGATGGCCCAGAAGTCCTGGATGTGCCTTCAGACCAGCCTTGGAGCACGAAAACAGTTACAGCACTTGAAAGGGCTTATTTTGGCACTGATGTTTTCCTTGGTCTTGTTTATAGCTGCAGATGGATGGGTGTGTGTCTGCCAGGGAGTGCAGAGTCTGCATCCCACACTGGTTAGTTGGCTGAGGAGTTCCTGTGTGATGGAAAAAAACATCATTACTATGGGCAGAAGGGAGATGAGGTGGCAGGGATGCTCTAAGAGGGATGTCTCCATTAAAACCTTTTTTGGGAAGGGGTCTCTCTTTCCCAGGGTCATGCACCTTGCTGAGCACTTTGCCTCTGCTCTGGTTTTCTGCTCATATTTGTGCACTGTGTTCTTGTACCCTCTGGCACGAGGCTGTGAGGCTGCTCGAAGCCAGAACTGCCCCATTCTTGTGTGCTGCTCATCCCTTTAGCTCTGGGTGCTCTGAAATTGCATGGAAACAATGGTCTGAGGGAAGCATTGCTTGCAAAACCTGTATCTCCTGAGCATAGCTGGCTGAAGGAGCTCTCCTACCATTTATCTTCTCACCTTCCTTCTTGGAAGACCAAGAGAAGAGAACTTGGAGGTTCTGATCGCTGCTGAATGCCACAGATCACTTGAAGTGGGAAGGGATCTCTGGAGGTCACCTGCTCAGCCCCAGCAGAAACACCTATGACAGGGTGTCCAGACCCAGCTCCAGGCAGCTTTTGAAGATCTCTAAGGAGAAACGTGCTCTGCTGCCCCATCACCTGCGCAGCACAGAAGTGCTTCCTGCTGTTTTGACGGCAATCCATTCCTAAGCTGACCCTGAACTCCCTCAGCCCCATCACAAACCTCATTGAGGGCTGGAAACCATGGCCCCAGCAGGAAAATAAAACACAAATAATAAATAAATCTAGCAGAGATAACAGCCAAGGACTGAGCGAGGGAGGAAATGAAGCTGTCAGGCCCCCAGGGCAGGGGGAACGTTTGTCTTTGGGGCTGTGCTGCAGGGTAGAAGCACCTCCTGCCCATTGGGTAGTGCAGGTGGTGACCAAGTCCTGCTGCCATCCGTGTGGCACTGCTCAGCACTGATCTGAGGGGCTGCATTGAGGCATGTGGATACAAGAGGGAATTTCCGCCTGGATTCCTTCTGGCTGAGTGTCGATCCGAAGGTTTTGCTGTGAGCACATCTGCACAGGCAGGAGGAAGGGTGAGAAGGCTGCCGGCAGCACAAGCAGCATGCCTGTGACGGACTGGTTTGCAAACACAGGTTGCACAGTCCACTTTTATTGCCTCTGGGAAAGGTTATTTGTAGTTGAGAGCAGAAATTTGTCTGGACAGCATGTTCAGCCATATAAGTCTCTGGAACTGGGCTGACGTGGTCCCACTGGTGCCTGTTAGCAGTGGCTGTGACGTGGCTCTGCAGAACTCAGCTGCCTTCTGAGTCTTGCTGACACTGTGCTGGAGAATCTCACCCAAATGGGTAAAGCACATAAATGCATTTCTAATCCTTCTTCTCCTTCTTTCCCTGCAGCCAGGGGCAAACTTCAGCCTTGGTCACAAGGTGTCATTGCTGTGGTGGTGTTTCTGGTGCTGGTGGCAATCTGCTTCGTGGTCAACAGGTTCTGGTGCAAGAAGCAGCAGTGAGTGCTGGGGCCCTGGGGCTATCCTGTCCATCACCAGCACGGTGATGTGGACTCAACCCATGGGAGATACAGTGTGGGGCCACTGCTCAGCTTGCCTGACCCCTTGCCTGCCTGCTGGGCTGCAGGACTTGGTCTGGAAGCCCAGCATTGATGAGGACAAGTGCTGAAGGGCCGAGATGTGCACACATGCACACAAACGCTGTGCTGTGCCAGGGGAGGCACTGCCCTGCCTATCTTTCCCTGTCACTCCTGGCTGTGGGTGATCATTTTGCAACGGTGTACACAGAAGGCAACTGGAAAAACCAGTTAGCAGGAGAAAACAACCCTTTGTGTGTGTGTGTGGATGGATGAGCAGGAGCACCCTGCTGAGATGCCACCAGATCTAGCCAGGGTCACACGTTGCTGAGAGTCCCATATCATCCCCGTGGTGTCACAGCTGTTTCCTTCTCTCTGCTGCTCTCCTCTTACCCCTGCACAGCCCCCATTGTTGGGATCTTTCCTCTCCCCTCCAGGGATAACGTTGAGACAGTGGTGAGCATTGGGGCCAAGGAAGAGGCTGTTGTGCCCAACGGACGTGAAGGGACATACGTGACCTCTGCAGTGGACTTCAGGTGAAGGACTCCTCCCTGTGACCCTCAGGCTCAGCAGAGTCATGTCCTGCTCTGTCCTCTGGCAAGTGTTGGGGCACAATGACAGCTTGTGCTTCTCCCTCTGACAGGTCCAAGGAGAACAAGCACGCCTATGAAAACACTTTGGATCCAGAGGAGAAGGTGATCACCACTGCCATGTAGCACCAGCTCGTGGTGGGACCCTCTGCACTGACATCCCCATGCATGGCAGCTCCTCTGTCCCAGGCCTTCAGACTTTTGTCCCTTTGTTAGACCCTAAGAGAGGTCTGGGGCTGTCACCTCCCCAGCCCTGTGGCCACCCCCTCACCTTCTCAGCCCAGCTGATGTCCCCCACCCCCTGGACCAGGGGATGCTGACCCATTCCAGATTCTGCTGCATGCATGGGACCCCATGTTCCCTCCCCAAATCCCTTCCCCTCTGGGAAACAGTCAATGGAAAACCCACTCTCATGTCAACATCTCATCCTCCTTTTTATGAACAAAGGCTCCATGCCATGCATTTCAAACTCAGAACAAACCGCCTCCCCTGTACATATATTCTCTGCCAGCAATAAAGGGAATTGCTGTCCATCCAGGCTCATTCTGCTGGTGATCCATAGGATTCTCCAGCACCTCATGGCACTCCCGGTCCCTGGGCACTTCAGGAGGGTGGGACAGTATGGAGAAGGGTGCTCAGAGAGGGGTCAGCACCTCATGGATGGGATCCATTGCTTATTTCCTAACTTAGATTTCCTTAGCACCAGGGGATGTAGCTTGTGATAATGTGTACAGGTTGTGTCCTGGTGCCACCGACAGCTGCAAGCTCCTTTTCTGCAGCCACAGCTTCTGTAGGTGATGCTGCTGATGTCCCTGATGGGTGGGGACAGAAATTCAGGCATGGTGCAAAACAGGAGTGTCCCCATGCCACATATCTCCCCATTAAGGTAAACATCGTGGAGCCAATGCTGAGAAATCACAATGGCATCAGGGAAATTGCATGGGGTGGAAGATGGGACAGAAGGGCTGAGCCCTGTGGTGCAGCTCTCCTTTTGCAGATGGAGGCTGCATTGTGCTAGAAGTGTTTTTATGAATGCAGGGCTGCAGCAGGATCTGGATGCTGCTCTGAGATAAGTGTCACTGACACTGCCTCATGCCCAGGGAATTTTGGGGGTGTATGGCCATAGGGATGGGAAGGAGCTCCCTCTGTTCCTCCCCCCGCCCATCCCCAGCACACCTCCTGGCTTTTCTCTGGTGGCTGCCACGCTGCACAGCTCTGACAAACAAGCTTCCCAGATCTTCCTGGTAATGATTTGCTCAGCAGAATGTACAAGGATTACTCATTTTGCAGCCTGCTGCATCAGCACTCTGGCTCGTGGCTTGAGGAGTGGCAAAAAGATTGGAACCCATTAATTTTTTACCTCTCCGTTGCAAAAGAAGTTACAAAACAGCGGCCTTATAATGAGTAACAAGTTGCCCTCGACTGCATGCACACCCTGGGTGAGCCATGATGGGTTGGGGATGGGCAGTGGTGGCAGGTGGATGGTTGGACTAGATGATCTTAAGAGGTCTTTTCCGACCTTAATGATTCTATGATGCAGGGATGCTGTGGTTGCTCAGTGTGTGGCATCCCATTCCTGAGGAAGGCAGGTGTAGGTCTGGGCAAGGGCAGGGATGGGGATTTGGGATGAACCCCGGCGGTCTCTAACAAACAAAACGGAGCAAGCATAAATGAAATTTATTGTTGGAAAATCTTAATTAGATTTTAAGCCCCAAAGGGAGAAAAGAGAGGTATTATCTGACGCAGCTAATGAGTGTTAAGGGTCTATTGTTGTCTTTCTTGTTTACCTTTCTGTGCTGGCTGATATGGCCTGGATCCTCACCTGCACTGCCATAATTAGGATATCTCATCTCCCACTGATAGGACTGGGGATGCTGTTTGTAGCACAGTGATGCACCATCCCTTCCTGGTGGAAAAGCACGGTGAGGAAGACTGTGTCCTGGCACCTACTGCACTGACCCCATGAGCTGGGGGATGCCCTCGAGCCCCCAGCTGCACCTGAAACCCTGGGGTCATCAAATCATAGAATGGCTTGGGTTGGAAGGGATCTCAAAGATTGCCTATTACCAATCTCCTGCTATGGGCAAGGTTGCCAACCATTAAAATCACCTGCTGGCCCCAGGTGATACCACTAGCAAAGGCAGGTTAATTCTGCCTAACCCTAAGGATATGTAAATTATTTCAGGTGGTTTAATTGAGGGGTTGCTGTATAGGATTGAAGTGTTGCAGAATGGGAGGTTTGTTCCAGCCTTGCCCCACGCAGTGCAGGCCTGGGTTGATGTCTTGGTGCTGGGCTCATCAGTGTCCAAGCAACGGGATTTGGACCTGCAGAGCACAAAGAGGGGTTTGGCACCACTATGGGAGTGAGTAACAGTGGCAGAGCACGTGGAGGGGACTATCACAGCCCCTTGGGTGCTGCCTGGTGGCATCAGTGCAAACGGGAGCGGGGCACGTGAGACAGATGCGTGTGGGCAATGGGGCCACAAAGTTTTTGGTCTTGGTTCAAGGTACTGAGAGCCAGGAGTAAAATACCATCCATTGTTGGTTCATACACCCTTAGTAGCCAAACAAACATCCCTGGAGCCGGTCCTTATCACTTTATTACACCTGCTAGAGTGAATAGATTAAAGAGGACAGGGGAGGGGGGAGAAAGCAGAAGAATCCAGGAGAAAAAAAAAAAAAACAGGTTTGGGGATTGTTAATTATTCTCTGGGGTCTCTAATCTTTAACTGGCAAACAGCATTGCTAACTGTCTTAAAGCCCCTCCTGGAACATCCTGATAATAAGCCATCTGCATGAAGGCACCCCGTTATCTGCCCTCCTCCAGCCGTCTGTGACATGGCTGGAGTGGGAGATAATGGATGTGCGGCGTGTAATAACGACACGTCATTCATGATTATCAGCCTGATACCCAACCTTTTAGCTCCATTGTTTGTGCATTGGAAAAAAAAAATAATAATAATAAGGAAAAAAAGAGAAGGGGAGGGAAGGGAAGATGGGGGGGAGGTGGGGGGGGAGGGATTTTTGGTGCTGTGTGTACAGTCTAAAGCATCTCCCTGCCAAAGAGGCTGGCTCTGGTGGCATCTCCCTGAGGGGCTGTGGTACCCGGTAAGGAATCGCCCATCCGGATGCTGTATCCATGGTGATGGATGGAGAGAGATGAGGCAGCACAGAATTGTCACTGCCTGGCAGGAGATGTTGGGGACAGGGCTTGGGAGACGTGGTCTCCAGCATTCTCTCTTCGTGCTGCTTTTGCAGTGGGGTCCGTGAAGGAGGTTGTGTTGCGCAGCCTTTTTACAGGGAAAATGTCTGATGCAGAGCAGAAAGACCAAATCATTCCCTGCACATAACAGCTCGGCCCCTTGGGGATGTGGGATTTTATTCTTTCAAAGCTGGGGGGGAGGAGGAGAGCTGGAGGGCAGATCTCTGAGAGCAGCGTGAGCCCATGGGTGCTGCAAGGGTGACAGCATCAGCACTTCTATCTGCGTGCAGCCCCTGTGTCTCAGCTTCCCCGGTGCTCGCTGTGCCGGGAACAGGCAATGACTCGTCTTCCTGACCCTAACAACCCTCCCGCGAGCCCATAGGCAGAACCAGGCTGTGCTGCACTCAGAGCCTGAAGGGCAGATTTGGTTGCATCCCGGTTCTCCCAGTGCCACCCAGCGGAGCTGCGCGGACCTGCAAGCTGAGCTGGGGAAAAGGGGGGGCCCTACAGCCGTCACCCAATCTCACGGGGTGGGCATAGAGAACCTCCCCGTGCCCTCCCCTAAACTCCTCCGGCACCGCTCTCTGATGGTGGTTTTTGCCTTTCACTCGTGTACCGAGTGCTCAGTTCTCAGCCCGTACAGGAAAAGTCCTGGGACCAACCCATGCTTTGTTTCTGCCCGTGGATTTTTGTCATTGCTACCAGTGCTTTTGTTTTGTTTCAAAGGCAGCTTGCTGCGGTTACTTCCTTACCACAGAAAAGCTAACATGGTGCTTGGCAAGGGCTTGGCATCCCGTTGCACAGAACGGCTGCAAGCTCTCTTCTCAGGGGATAAAATTTCTTCAGTAGCATTTGTGGCTTGGGGAAATGCAATGCCAGGGCTGCACCCTCCTGCACTGCACAGCAACAGGCACAGCTCATTCTCAATGAAGCTCAGCTGGCCTCTTCCTCTCCTACTGTCTGTAGGTGCAAAAGCATCCAGGGCCACGTTCCCAGACCATCTTGGCAAGACTTTATTCACAATTCAGAGGGGGATGAAGCTAAGGTCACGTGGTGCTGAGGGCTTTCTCCAGGCTACTCAGTGTCTAAGCACCCTCAGCTCCAGGGTGAGGGTTGGGAAAACCTGCTGGTCTTCATTTCTGTAATGCCAGGCACAATGCCAGCCTGCAGCTCATCAAGTCAGGGTTCTTCCCTGAGCTTAACGTACAGGTGCTCAGATAGAAATCCCAGCAGGACAGGCTAGAGATGAGGAGAATGCAGAAGATCCCTGCCAACCTTCCAAAAAGCCTCAGCTGTGCTTTTTCTGCTGCAAGGAGGGGACTTGAACCTGCTGGGCACAAGGTGCTCAGTGCAGGGTTAGTGTGGATGAGACATAAGGTGGGTCTGGTGGGTATCCCCCTCCTCGGCCCCGGCGTTCAGGAAGGCTGCAGGTTGGCACATCTGAGTGGAAAGTGGTCTTTGGGAACTGTTTGTGTCACCTCATAAGGTCAGCGAATCTTTTTCAAATGCAGATGGATGCCGCTGCTGGACTTGAGGATGAGCTGCTGTGTCAGTGTAGGAGGCTTGGAGGCATTGGGGATCAGCTCAAAGCGGAGCAGGGTCAGTGCCAGAGCCACCTTCATCTCGTTCATAGCAAACTGCTGCCCAATGCAGTTCCTGGGGAGAGGATAAAGGCTCAGGTTGAAGCCTGCAAGTTATAAGACCACAGTGCCTTGGGTGTGGGAAGAGCTCTAGAGCTGGCAAAGCTCAGTAGAGATCCCACCATGGAGACTTCTTGAGATGGCCAAGTCAACTTGACCCAGGTGTGCTGAGGGGATTAGGCTCAGGAGCACAACCCCGTGTACATATGAGGAGGGAAAGGGATGAAGGATTTGCTACCTGGGTCCTGCAGAGAAAGGCAGGAAAGCATGTGAATGCCTGTGCGCTGAGTTCTCAGGAGAAAACCTCAGGGGATCAAATACCTGTGGGAGCAACGAAGGCCATTTGGTCAACATTGGCCCAACCATGAGAAGCACCAGGTTCTCTGGTTCCCAAGGAAGGGCTGGAAGTGGCCTTTGCTGCTCCAGGGGAGCTGCAGCTGACATTCATTCATTCCTCTGCAAAGCTACCAGATGGATGAAAAGAGGGTGCTGGTGGCTTTGCTGATCTTCCCCTTGGAGATATCTCATCAGAGCTGCTGAAGGCAGGAAGAATAGCTCCATTGCATAAAGGCAAGCTATTAAATACCCTTTTCAAAGCCTTTGGGGTGTTTGGTAACATCACTGAACTTTACATGTGGATACGGACTGTTGGAATAAAAGGCAAAAAGAACACCCACCCACCCCAAAAATTTGGCATGGAGGTGCAAGCTGCCTTGTTCAAAGACAGTAGTAGTCTGGGCTCTGAGATCATCTCCGCATTCTTGCTATGAAGGTGACATACCTCAGGATCTTCCCACACATCCCGGTTCCTGTGAATACCAAATATGTTCAACGAAACCTGGGAGCCTGAAATTGAAAAAATACTCATGATGTGAAAATACTCATCGTATGAAGAGTGAAGACCAAGAGTGTTTGGAGGATGCTCTCCTTCGCTGGATTCAGCAGGGGCTGTGACAGAAGATTTGGCGGAAACAT